ATCAGTATGAGCCTAAATCAGACAGAAAATGACACTGAGGACACAGCTGAAGCTCACGCCTGCTCTCTAAAATATCATCTGACAAGTGTCTGTCACATATATTCAGAATAAGCATGTGTGAGTCATATGAAACATTCTCGTATTTTTAGAGTGTTAGTTATCTGAGATGTAAAATGCCGGGAAAGTGTCCTCATAGAGAGACACTGCATTTTTTGCACTGAATTTGCACAGAATTTTTAGCTGAAATGTTAGCATTGCCAAACAGCATTTCCCGTTGTTTACATCCTTGTTTATGTCCTCGCTACAACGTACCGTTAGCGCTAGAAACTGTGTCTGATGTACTGGAGAAGATTGAAACTGCTGTACTAGAGACAATTGAATCGGTGGACATGGCTGGATAAGGCTGAGGAGCTGCAGGCAAGATTACAGGGCAGGCAATCCTGATCACTGACATGGAGGAATCTTTAGAAACAAAAACACACAAACAGCAAACAACAATGAATATATTTATATATCTTCTATATTTCTGTCACATATGCATCTGTTTCATTTTAGTCTGAAAAGTGCTTTGAGATGCAACTTTAAAGATGCTACAGAAGATTATTGTCATTAGTTTGTTTGTTAAATAATAATAAATAAAACAATTTTAAAAAATCCTATTTTGCAGTGTTAGGTGTTACATAAAGAGTTGGACTATTGGAACATCTGAAGGAAGCCATTTGTATTTTCTAGACATAAATACTATTTAAAGCTAAAATCAGCAGATGTGCTCACTAACTAGTGAAGTTAAACCAGTCACTACAGTCAGACGTGCTTCAGACTATTAAACACACCAGATCAACACATACATATTGTGTTTGTCCTCTATACAGGCTACAGCGCTGTAAACTCACTGTTCGGTTCTGTGAGAGTTTGTCTTCAGCTCTACAATCCTCAAACTGTGTCCTGAGAGAGCTGGCCCTGATTAACAATGACCTGCAGGATTCAGGAGTGAAGCTTCTCTCTGATGGACTGAAGAGTCAACACTGTAAACTGGACACACTGAGGTCTGAGTTTAAACACCTGATTGATTGATTTTTGTTTTGTTACATCAGACAAATCACATTAACAGTGTGTTTTTTGTAATGTGTGCTCTTTCTCAGACTGATGACATGTAAACTCACTGCCGATTCTTGTAAGAGTTTGTCTTCAGCTCTACAATCCTCAAACTATGTGCTGAGAGAGCTGGACCTGAGTAACAATGACCTGCAGGATTCAGGAGTGAAGAAGCTCTCTGATGGACTGAAGAGTCAACACTGTAAACTGGAGACAATGAGGTCTGAGTTTAAACACCTGATTGATTGATTGATTTATTGATTTTTTGCTTTGTTACATCAGACTGATCACATTAACAGTGTGGTTTTTAGTAATGTGTGTTCTACGTTCTCAGATTGGCCACATGTATTCTCACTGTTCAGTGTTGTGAGAGTTTGTCTTCAGCTCTACAGTCCTCAAACTGTGTCCTGAGAGAGCTGGACCTGAGTAACAATGACCTGCAGGATTCAGGAGTGAAGCTTCTCTCTGATGGACTGAAGACTGTAAACTGTAAACACTGAGGTAAATGATTCTCCACTCTACAATATCTACAGTCAGACAGTTTCATATTAGAGCTTTTCATGCTTGAACATGTTAACCCTGGATGATACTAAACCCCAGATAACAGGAAGTATGGTTTATCAGTAATTATGTTTCACACTGCTCATACTATACCTGTAGTTAACCCTCAGGGGTCTGAGTTGATTTTGGGACCCCTGAGATGTTTTGACATGCCCTGACATCTGTGCTTATTTCAGCTACTTTTTACACAGTACTAGCCAACATGTGTTTTATTAGTATTCAGCTCAAACTGAGCTACAATAATATGTGAGAAATATTGATGTACATTGTGCTGATTTCCCTTTGTTTAATCACCCTAATTAAACAAAGTTAAGATCAGGATCCTCCCTTAGCTATATTTCTTAGCAAGAGTTTAGTTAAAGGATCGTCTTTAAAGAATGTATTTTGCAAAAGAATAAATTAGATCATACTTTACCACACCGGGTAACTTTGATGGGTTCTGGAAAATGAATTCAATGTCCACTCCAGTGAAGAAAAGTAATAAAATACACTTTTATTAATAAAACAAAATCCAGTGAAAAAGTAGAATAAACAAAAGACAAACAGAAAACAAAATCCTTACTTTGTCCCCAGTTGGCGGACAAAGGGCAACCAACCTCAATGAACAGAAGTCAGGAAGCGCAAAGCTGAAGAGTACATGTCAGCTTTTATACTCAGTGTCTCAGTGACAGTATTCATAAATCAACCCTAAACACAGGTGCACAGACTACTTAAATCATACATTCAAGGAGCATGCTAAATCACTTGAACAGTAAAAAGACAGATATATAGTCATCAAGAGTACATTGTATCATATAAATCAACATTTAGGCATTTTAATATAAGCCTTGATTTATAATGTGCTATATAGTTATGCACTTAAATTCAGGTGCGTGAACTCGGTAGAAAGTTCAGCAAAAGTACAAGTTGGGAGTTCATTCAGAGTTCGACTACTAGCAAGAGGGTCATCTGAAGTAGCAAGGGGTTCCCAGAGAGTTCGTCCAGCTGATTTGTTGGCTCGGCGCGCCCTCTGTCGGAGTCGCCTTTTCTTTCTCTTACGTTTCATTTCATCGTTAAGAGTTGTACTTTTACGCATAGGAATATCAGAATACATCAGTGATTTTTTTGTGTCTCACATGATTAATGTCATCTGACCCATCAACCATCACACCGTTTATGAAGGCTCGTATGTGTTTGTTATCATGATCCACAGTGTTTGTTGCATGTTTTTCCCTAAGATCCTGTCAGGGCCAATACAGCAAAGCTGTGTGTGCAGCAAGCATTTTTGACGGAAGAGCAGTACGAGAATTGGAGAATGGCGGACATTGTCTTTTATCAGGAGTTTGTTCACATTTAGACACATCGCCGTGCTGTTGTGTTCGCCTAAATCCTCTAGATTACCAACTGGGCTAATGGTTGAAATAGACAGGGCAAGAGGCCTGCTGCACTGAGCCTGCATTCAGACCTATGGTTCAGAGAAGGGGATTAAGGGAAAAGTCTTCAATTATAGAGTTTATATGAACATGATTATCTTTATAATGATATAAATTGTGGTTAAGTGTATATGAAATTACGAATAACAAATGTAGCCGGGCATTACATTACTGTTTATTTCTTTGCATTTTAACTTTATAAACTATAAAATCACGTGTTTCATTCTGTGAGCTAACTGACAACAGTTGTTCACTGCCCTCCTTCTCCCCTGCTGGACACGCCCACTCCTGCCCTTTGCTCGCGGAGCAAAATCAGGAATCGAATGGAGGCCTGGCTCAATAACCCACACAATTCAAAAGAATGGAACCAGTTGTGAGTGTTTGTGATTGTGAGGTATAACCAATAAAGAGAAAATGATCACAATGAAGGCTGATCAAATTAATGAATGTAAAAATGATTGAGAAATAAAATCGACACATGGAAGTGTGAAAACATTACACAGAGTTGTGCAGTTCCCAGAAGTTCCTGATGCCTTTCACACAAATTCTTTCAAAACAGCCATATCAACACTACAAGAAGAAATGGCTGCATTATTGCTTTTTGCCTCAGCTGATGTGATGGAACTATTTATACATTATACATTTAACAAAACATATTGTTTTACAAAATTATCTTAGATATAATTAAGTCATTCCTGGCGTTCTGTAATATTTCAGTCCCCCATATTTTTTTATAGTCGTTGTCGACTTAAATGACATGTTAAAAGCATTTTTCATTGATCTACTTTGTACATTATAATGAATAAAAAAATACATTAAATGCAGCTTTAGCATAAAAAATATAATATGTCTGTCACAAACCAAGCTATTTGTCATGCCCCCGAGGCACTTCTTTGAAATTGCATGTAGACACAGTGTTTATTTTTTTTTTAGTATTACAGCTATTTATTTGTGTTATTTACTTGTGATAAACAATAAATAAGATTTTTTTAATAAAAAACAGGCTACAAAGTTATGTCCCTCAATATAAACTCAACCCTGTCACACCAGCAATTCTCCACCTACAGCAATTCAGAGTCTACTCTTATATGACATCCAGATGGAAAGTGACATCATTCAGCTCTCTTTCTCAGCATGGTGCAAAAGAAGCTATATTTTCATTTATTTACATTTTTTGATTTTATTATAGTTAGGAAGGATGCGGTCAAGCTTAACAATTCAACCCCGTAAAACTAAGATGGAATATGATTGTTTTTTTTATTTCCAAACAATATAACATATTCTTGTTTAATTGCTGCCATGTGGGCATTCTCTTTTAAACCACACAAGGAGCAGAGGACATTCTGCTTTATAACTCAACCCCATCACACATGTCATTGTTTTGGGTATATTCACCTAATTAATCAGGAATATTCATTAAAAAACATAAAAAAAATTTTGTTACTGATAGAATATTTGAAGCTGTGTTTTACTTAAACTTTGACACTATTTAATGTCAGACACGGCACCCGTACCAGCAGCAGATTTTATATTGAGTGTCACGAGTTTCATCATGAGTTTATGTAAAGCTAATAAAATCAGAACAAAAAAATACTTAAATTATGTATTAGTTCATTTGTTTATCTCTATGTCATGTGACAATTACCCAACTTTAGAGAGGGGGTCATTGAGGGCATAACTCATATTAATATTATAGATACAGAGGGTTAGGCTAACAAAAGGTTTTGGAATCCCTGATTGAATCCCCTCCTGCTGCCCATCCACCTAAGGGTTGGAAGTTTTGTGTGTTCAGAGATGCTCCTCTGCAGTCCTCGGTTGTAACGAGTGCTTATTTCAGTTACTGTTGCTCACTATATAATTTTCTCTCCTAGAGATTGTTGTGTGTGAAAATCCCAATAGATCAGCAGTTTCTGAAATAAGCAGATCAGCCAATCTGGCTATATAATTTTATTTTTTTATTAACATTATTGAGTATTTTCATTAACAATTTCATTAAGAACTTTTCTGCTGCAGTTTTTATTGATGTTCTAGGAAATAAAGTTTTAGACAAGACTTTACCTGTTGCTTCTGTTTACTGTAGGTTCTGTTCAGCAATAGATTGGGTAACACAGGCCTTTATCAGCATTTTTAAAGGTTACTAACAGTCCAGTTACCTGCAGCACTTCAATTTTTTGAATTCTGACTGTGGTTTGGTTTAATGAAGTTTCATTTCATTCCGGTTTGCCTTTATCTCATTAATGCCTTTGCTAAATGTTTTACTAAAATACATTTTAAGTAAGTGTTAGATGTAATTTCAAATGAACTAAAACAAATTAAAACTGAAATTTAAGTGTCCTCTTAACCCTGTTATGGTCTTAAACCGGTCACTGTATTCTCCACCCTGTGAGATTCATATTTTTAAAGGAAAACAATTAAATATAGAAAAAAATATTGCTGAGAACCAACCAGCATGTGCAGCCTAACATTTTAATTATGTGGGTGGGGTAAGACATCTAAATGTAAAACTTTTTAAAAATTAAGAGACCACAGAATGCACAAGTATGTATAATTGTAACTTAAATCACATATTAATCTAAAACTCATTAAAAATGTGATATTTTAGCCATTAAACTGATTTGAGGGACATGTGAGCAACAGGGAAATGTTGGTTTTATAGCAAAAGCTTTGTAGAATACCATTATTACCAACTCAGTTTAGTCTATTACAGGGTTGAGAATAATGGCTGCCCAATTAAGAATAAAAGAGAAAATAATATAAAGGCTTTAATGCCAGAGGAGGGAAAAACATGATGTTTTGAAAGTTTAAATTGTGCCTATTTATGTAGGCTATATGTAAAAATATAATCAGTACACTTTTAAAAATATGTTACTACAAGATATGAAAACTGCGGCACAGCACACTACAAGATACTATCAAGATTGTTGTGCCTGATGGAGCACATCACCTGACTGCAGAATAACTCTGCTTTTTATTATAGGCTTGCTTACAAATATCTGACCAACTGCCAGAGCGAACAGCCTGCAGAATGAAGAGAAAAGCTGCTTGTTGAAGAGAGCACATCATGTCCAAACAAATGTCTAATATTATGATTATTATTATTATTATTACGGATCAGAGAGGTGACAAAGGCAGATTAACAGAAATAACGGACATTTCATGATACTTTAGGGGGAAAACCAGTGTGGAGAGTTTTGTATAAACCAACTTTGACAAAATGTGTTGGGGATTTACAATGGAGGATTCTGCAGGGGATTGTGGCAGTGAATGATTTCATATGTGTTGTTCACTCTAGTGTCCATGACGAGTGTCTCTTCTGTGGACATAGAGAGACTGTGTATAATTGCTCTTTGAAATGTACACGTTTAACACAATAGTTTGATATGTTGAGCAGAGTTTTCCTGAAATGTGGAGAGAATTTGACTCAATGTAAGTTTCTTCTGGAGCTGGCTATAGTCAGAAACACAAACTGAAATAGCAGTTCATTCACTGTTTAGTTGCTCAAGCAAAACTTGCTCTACTTATCACAAGAAGAAACTAAATAGATGATGTACATCACAGGTGTCAAACTCAGTTGCAAAAGGGCCGCAGCTCTGCACAGTTTAGTTCCAACCCTAATTAAACACACCTGATCAAACTAATTTAGTCCTTCAGGCTTGTTTGAAATCTACAGGTAAGTGTGTTGGAGCAGGGTTGGAACTAAACTGTACAGGGCTTCGGCCCTCCAGGAATTGAGTTTGACACCCCTGATGTACATGGTCAAGAGATTGGGAGTTTTAAAGCGTTCGTCAGGTCCAGAATTAAAATATATTTAAAGTATTACAAGGCCATAAATGATGCTGAAACCTTTGAACAACAGTGCTGTTATAAGGACGCTGTCTGCAGTGTGGAGGTAGGAGAGCTGCTGTTACATCTGATGTGGAGTTACAATGTGTCAAAAAAAAATGATGTAAGAAAGTATTTTTGTAGAAAAAAAAATCCCACACAGACAAACATACACTCATGCACACACTCAAACACACACACACACTCGCACACACATGCTCTTTCACACATACACAAACAAACACTCTCTCTCTCTCTCACACACACACACACACACACTGCTACTGACTGCTCCTTCTCAGTCTTCAGCACAGTTTGACTGATGATTGACACCAAATAGTAAACCCAGGATAGAGCGGCTCAGTGAATGTGGTCTGGACTGAGTGGATGAGGCTCATTGTGTCTCTATAGATGTTGTAGAAGATCAGAGTTCCTGCACTGTGATCCACAAACACTCCTATTCTCCTGCTGAGCGGTTTCACTGGGAGATCAGTGCGTGTGTCATTTTGCCAAAATATATAACTGGAGGAAGAGCAGCGCAAACTCCAGGACTGAGCATTACATCCGAACAAATACTCAGGATCTACTCCCTTCCTCCTGATGCTCTTATATGACACTGATATCCACACATCATCTCCACTCCAGTCAATCTCCCAATAACAGCGTCCACACACACTCTCTCTGCACAACACCTGAGAATAAATACCATCAAATCTGTCTGGATGATCAGGATACCGCTGATACTCTCTCACACGCTTCACCTCTCTGTTCTCCTCAGACAGAATGAGAAAAGCGTATGTTGTGTTTGGATCCAGAGTGAGGAAACAGGCATCTGAACACAAGAACACACACATGTATAACCACAGCTCTGTGTGTGTGTGTGTGTGTGTGTGAGAGAGAGAGATAGAGAGAGAGTGTATGTGTGTTTGTGTGTGGGAGAAAGAAAGTGTGTGTGTGTGTGTGAGAGAGAGAGTGTGTGTGTGTGTGTGATTGAGAGAGACAGAGTGTGTGTGTGGGTGAAAGAGAGAGAGTGTGTGTGTGTGTGTGTGTGATTGAGAGAGAGAGAGAGAGAGTGTGTTTGTGTGTGTGTATGTGTGTGTGTAGTCCTACATTTGCGTGGTCCTGCTGTAATCCTCGTGTGTTCTCCATGATCCAGACTGTAAACACACACAGATGGAGAGAATGAGCTGTTTAGTTTCCCCCTCAGCTAATAGGCTAAAGCTAGCACTGAGCTGCTCAGCTACACGCTCCAAACTCTTCAGCTAAAACACACAACACTTGTTGGTTCAGCCAGGATGCACAATGAATGTAACACAGTGCGTTCTTTTCCTCTGCTGTTGGTGAAGCGAGCACAGATACTGCTCATGTTGATGGAGACACCCTGCTGCAATATTCATTTATTACAGTTGTTGGAACTCTATGCAAAGGATGTTGCAGATCTCAAAACCAGTTCGAATAAGGCTCGGAAACTGGTAGCCAAATTGTCTGTAGTCATTGAACCAGCTTGAGGGCTTAAACCATCATGATAACAAAGCACTAATTGATTTTGGGCTACTCTGACCAGCACTTCGGCCACAGTTGTTCCAAGTACCCTTCAGCGAAATTAGTAAACGATTTAAATTGAACAAAGGGGCTTTAAAGGATTTTCAGCGTAAACCGCCTCACGAGACTTTTGAATGACTCCCAGTCATGCGTTAGTAATGTGGTACATCCTGCCAGATGACAATTTTGTAGAGACAAAGAGAAATGAATGCATGTGAATGCAAGACAATCTCTTAAAATGTTAGAACTAAGGCAGATGTATCTTTGAATAATATGCCATAATGCTCCTCATATGCTGTTTATTCCAACCAACCAGGTTAAACAATGTGTTGTTTTAACCCTTAAAGCAGATTAAAATTATCTGTATGTGTCTAAAATGTATGTCTGGTATTGAATGAAAGCTAGTAACATTTGCAATCTTTTGGTGTAAATGAAAAACTAGTAGTACAAACAGTATTCATCTTGTAACATTTGATGTAAGATCATTTCAATCTTGCAAGAGTTCTTCCATATGAAATCAATATGCAGTCTGTTAATGATTGAACCTTCCTATGTCAGTATGGGGCGTGGCCCCGCCCTTCGTTGCAACTGCTCATTGGCAGACAGTGCCATGGGGGCAGACCGAACCAGGTCACTTTAAACTCCCTGCAACAAAGAAACTTTGCTTTTTGCATTAGCTGGCTTGCGCATGCTTTTGCTCTCTGCCCCCTCTCACCTGCCCGATTGGGTCACCACAAACTTCTTTTAAGTTTTAGGATCGCCGAAGCTGCACGAACTTCCACAAACTGACTTTCAGCAGTCTGTCACTCGGTGGTGACCCAGGACAACAGCCATTCATGAGCATGAACTGCCTTTGTGTGTGTGTGTGTGTGTGTGTGTGTGTGTGTGTGTGTGTGTTTGTTTGTTGTTTGTTTATTACATAGTTAGTTTCATGTATCGTAGTGTAGCTCAATAAATCTTTGTTCTCATTTTGTAAGAACTGTGTTCTTGTTTATGTGCTTCTAAGTCATTGCCTCGAGCTGTAGATCTTGTTACCTTGCTAAAAGTTAACCCAATACTGTGTTATGTTATTATCGTTGGCCACGTAAATAATATTAACAAGATTGGTAAGATACGTCTTCTGTTTGCGGGACAAATTGTAGATAAAGTGTGAATCTTTTAATCTGATTCAGTCTGACTCAATTGAGTCGAATCAATGATTCGAATCTTTAGGATCCGGTTCATTGAAATGAGCTAATTAATTCCTGATCAATCTTAAAACGTGGGTTAAACCCCTAGACAGTGATCACACTTAGCTTTGCCATCGTTCTTCAGCACATGCAGCCTTTGAGCACATGTTGCAGTCCATCTCTAAACTATGTTCAGATTATTAAAGCTGCTCGCCAGCGCCCAAGTTCCTGACAGATTAGCAAGTGAAAAATACACGTGTGCACAGAGAAGAGGAATCCAGATGTTGATTTTAGAACAAGAGTCTAAACATTAATCCAAGTGTCTGATTCCAGAATCTGAATCCATCTTCAATCCCCAACCCTATTCCTGACCTGATATTGTAGGATTCTTCAGCAGAAATGGAGGAAGAAGTTTCTCTGCTCAGCTCAAATGCTGAAACTGTACAGTGTGTCCCGCTTAATGTCACTGTAACTGAGCCAATACACTCCAACATTTACAGAGGAGATTCATTTCACACTCAATGATTTGCTCTTCATAGACATGACTGGAATACTCTACAAGCTGTATCTTCTGTCTGTCCTCACCCCATAACCCTCACAGAAAACTGAAGCTGATCACAAAAGAGCTTTCTAGTGTCTTTTTAAAGCCATTCAATGTAAAAGCACAAGGCCAGTGATGCTCCACATACTTGAGTTTGTCCAGTGTGTAGTTTGGATCCTCCAGTTGTTCAGAGAGCAGCTTGACTCCTGAATCTCCTGGATGATTGTAGCTCAGATCCAGCTCTCTCAGGTGTGAGGGGTTTGAAGTCAGAGCTGAAGACAGAAAACCACAGCCTTCCTCTGTCACCATACAGCCAGACATTCTACAAACACAGCAATAGTCCACATCACACAGTTGGACAATCACACATCACGCCATTGCCAGCCTGCACACACACATTATCGTGTGTGTTAAATGCAAAAGTACCACAAGCCTGCGTTTGAGTAAAGATCCCGGTCGTTAGATCCCACCCTGTGGGCTGGCTGCCTCTTCCGTGTTAATAAATGAGACTTTAGCCCAAATAATCCAGAGTAGTCCCGAAAGATGGTTTTGATCAATTAAAGCACTGATTATCGTGCTGATATAGGTGCAGATCTTTAATTTTGTAAAGAGTTTGTTTTTAGCAGTAATTTAATGATGGGAATTTCATCGTTTATTGTTTACTGATACACGCCTAACCAGATAGCAAAATACACTCGGGCCAGTTCCGGCTAGATTGTCGCCTGCCAGAGACTTACCTCGACTCTGACAGTAGTCTACTTTGCTGCCCGAGTCAATCGGGTCCAGATGCGGTGGCCGTTAGCGAGCCGACGCTGCCGTATCCGAGCCAGAATTGGCCTGTGATTATGTGCGATGCGGCCCGAAGCTGGCGCAACTGAATCTTCATTTTATAAAACCTCACCTTTATTACCATTATTACAACCATTTGAGTTGATATAACAGCAAACTCAGGCTACTATGTAAACGCAAAGTGTAGGCATTGAGCTTGACCTTTGAATTAAATGTAAACAGTGCCTACACACACACACACATACATATATATATATATATATATATATATATATATATATATATATATATATATATATATATATATTAGTGCTGTCAATCGATTAAAAAAATTAACTAATTAATCACACTTTTTTAAAATGTAATCACGATTAATCGCATTTAAATAACTGAAACTTGTAATTTTGGCCATTCAAATATAAAATTAATGTAAACGCAAGACAAAAAAATATTTAAATTCAAAATATAATTGTTTAATAGAACTTTTGTTTAACTTGTGACAGATTTCTTCATGTAAAGAACATACCCACAATAAACCATCAAGATCATGGCTTGACAGCCATATTTATTACAGAAACGTCACATGCCATATTTATTACTGGTGCAATGTCAATTCTGTCTCTGTCAAGGACAGAGTATCAGTATTTTAAATGTGATTAATCGCGATTAATATTTTTTTAAAGTGCGATTAATTAGTTACATTTTTTTATTGATTGACAGCACTAGTTAGAATCCTTGTGAAATACAGCCATACTTTAGAACGCTTAGTTTAAGCAAATTTGATGAACGCTGCGATCATGCGTGTTGAATCTGAAGGGAGTCGCTTTGCCTGCCCTGTCCTGCACGCGGTGTATGCGTCTGTCTGTGTGTCTGTGCGCACACACGCATGTGTTTCTTAGCAACAAACCTGCATAAACGTCTGTAGCAACTAAATCAAAAAGATTGCGTTGCATTGCACTTTCAGCTCACAACATACAAAAGAAAAGGTCCACATTGTATATATGTGGCCTGCGGCCTCGTGCCATCGCACACCTCCCCCCAGTGCCGATATACAGCCATATCGCCATGCTACGAGTGTGATATTGCTTATATATATAAATATAAATATACTAGTGCTGTCTATCGATTAAATAAACTAACTAATCAATCACACTTTTTAATCACATTAAAAGACTGAAATTTGTAATTTTGGCTATTCAAATGTAAAATTAATGTAAACGCAAGACAAAAACTATTTCAATTCAAAATATAATTGTTTATTAGAATTTTTGTTCAACTTGTAACAGATTTCTTCATGTAAACAACATACCCACAATAAACCATCAAGATCCTGGCTTGACAGCCATACTTATTACAGAAATAAAAACACAGGCATGTTAATGACATTTGAATTTCAAAACAATCAATGCCAATAAAGAAAAAAAATGATTTCCAAGTTGGATTCTAAGTGTACTGAAATAAAAAGCCAAAATACAGGCATTACAGATATGGAAAACTATAATAACAAAGTATTGAATACAAACAATTGCACTCATTGTAAAGTTGTATTGCTGTGAGTTGAGAATGTTAAAGTAGAAACAATTTTGCTTAGTCCTAATTTACATTCAGACATTTGCTAAAACAATCCAGTATGGTGACATTATCGGGGGAGAATGTGGACCTTTTCTTTTGCATGTTGTGAGCTGAAAGTGCAATGCAACCCAAACTTTTTGATTTAGTTGATACAGACAATTATGCAGGTTTGTTGCTAAGAAACACGCGTGTGTGCGCACAGAAACGCACACCGCGCGCAGGACAGGGCAGGCAAAGCGACTCCCTTCAGATTCAACACGCATGATCGCAGCGTTCATCAAATTTGCTTAAACTAAGCGTTCTAAAGTATGGCTGTATTTCACAAGGATTCTAACTAGTGCTGTCAATCAATAAAAAAAATGTAACTACTTAATCGCACTTTTAAAAAATATTAATCGCGATTAATCACATTTAAAATACTGAAACATGTCATTTTGGCTATTCAACTGTAAAATTTATGTAAACGCTAGACAAAATTTATTGAAATTCGAAATATAATTGTTTATTCGATTTTTTGTTGCACAGAGACTCAATAAAATCATATTAT